AATTAACCCTCACCTGCATTGTTAGCAATCACAACACAATATAGGCCAGCGCAGATTTCATTTCATTGTGTTTGGAACGAATGCGTGCACGGACCCTGATAACTAAACAGAGCTACTTTGTGAGGTGATGATGTCACTGAGGGAAGTAACACTGGAGTTTTCCCAAGGTCTTGAGCACACATAAAAAGCACAGAAGATTGAATTACTTCACGGAAACTCCATAGTTCAGTTGTTGTCCCTGCTACTTCTGTCCCTATTGATAACGTATGAAAGATGTGGAGAGGTTATGACATGCACCCGTAAAGGTCTAATTATAAACCATGAGCCGAGAGCAATAAATACTCAAGCAGCACTGTGATCGTCTGATAAAGATATCTGTGATCACCAGATCAGCTCTCTTCCTGTCTGTCCTCTTCGGCACTGAAGAATATGACTGAACCTTCATTTCCTGCTTGATCGAGAGTCTCCGGGAGGCAAATCCATGCTGCTGTGTCATAATATTCCTCGCATATACACACAAACATAGGCAGAGACTTTTTTTACTTTATCCTGCATGGAGAAATATAGAAGTTTTAGCCTTAGAGTGAAACTAAAATAAAATAATTTAAAAAAGATATAAATAACACTTTACAATAAGTTAATGTTTCTTAATGGATTAACTAACAATAACTAACAATGAGCAATACATTTGTTACAGTATTTATTAATCGTTGTTAATGTTAAAATACAGCTGTTCATTGTTAGTTCATGTCCATTATTAACAGATACATCTTACATCTGATAAAAGATAAAATATTAATAAATGCTTTAGAAGTAGTTTTTATTGTTAGCTCAAGTTAACTATAATGTTAACAAATGGAACCTTTTAGTAAAGTGTTACCAAAAGTTGTAACATCATGCAGTAACGGTTTGAGTCACTTTGCGAGACATATTCACAATTGTGATATATTAAAACATGTTGCAGGATGTAAAGTCATATTTCGAGATATAAAGTCAATTGCGAGAGAAAGTCACAAGACCCTTTTATTAAAATGTATTTTTTATTCTGAGGCAGAAACAAGTTTCCCCATGTTTAGACCAGCTTGAATTTCCCAGTCCGGTTTTTGATGGTCAACAAAACTGCTGATTAACAGCTGACTAATTTAGTTAAGAAGCTTAGTTGAAAACCAAAATGAAGACCAGCATCCAAAACAGAACATACTGTATGCCGGTGACCAGCAGTAAACATATCTCACTTATCAAAACAAAGGTTAGGCTTCAGATCAAGAGCTTCATATGAACATCGTGTGATGAATATGTAGCTTTTCTTTCTACAATTCTTATCAGTTCACTTATGTCACCACAGCTGTGATGAAGTCAAATGTTCCATCATAGTGTTGTCAGAATTCTGAATACCGTCCATCAACGGACACTGCGTTCCAGATCCCTGCATGAAACTCCTTCTCTGGAGCTCCAGAGGAAACTATCAAAATTAATCAGCATAGCTGTCATGTTTGATTCATTCTGGCCCAAATGTTAAAAGCTATTTGTAGCATGAGATCTTTTGGTCGAGAGGGCTGTAAATTGACATTTTTCTTTGTTCATCTGCCAATCATCATGCAATATGAAGCAACTGGATGAAAGTGGCCCAAATATGTCATTGTTAGCAGTTAAGGCGTCTAGAGCTCAGAGAGAGCATGTCAGCTGTTTAAGAAAGCAGCTCAATGGAGCTAATGAACCCAGACGCCACTTTAATTGTTTTGAGTACTTGTGGAAATGTGATTAAAAGCCAGATAAAACAAACCCTTGGCAATAAAGCAACCAAACTGACAAAGGCATCACAGAGCAACTACCATAGCTTTCCTGCTTTTATTAGTCATTCGACGCCTGCAGCTAAAGTCTAGTCTGTTTACATGAAGTATACAGTAGGACCTCCATGATTTCCTTATTTCCTTAAGTGACTATAGTTTAAGCATTTAAATATAAAGTCACATTTTGAGATAAAAGTTACACTGCATGATATAAAGTCACTGGTACAAGAAACAAAGTTGCCAATGCGATAAAATATCACATTTTGAGATATAAAATCACATTATGAGATTATGAGAAAGTTGCCATTGCGACGTATAAAGTCATATTTTGAGGTTTAAAGACACGTTTTTAACTATAAAGTCACAGTTATGAGAAAGAAAACTGCCATTGCAAGATATGCATGGTCACAATTGTGAAATATAAAGTCACATTTTTAGATACAAGGTCACATTGCAAGATATAGTCAGCTATGAAAAACAAAGTTGCAATTGTGAGATATAGTCATATTTTGATACATTGCCACAATTGTGAGATATAGTCATATTTTGAGATAGTCACGTTACGAGATTTAAAGTCACACTGTGAGGTAAAAAGTTACATTGTGAGATCTAAAGTACATTTTTTTTAGATATAGTGGCAATTGGGAGAAATAGTACGATTTTGAGAAATAGTCACATTACGAGATTTAAAGTCACACTGCGAGATAAAAAGACATTTTGTGAGATATAGTCCTAATCGTAAGAGTCATATTTTGCCATTAAGTCACATTGTGAGATATAAAGTCATAATTTGAGATATACTCACTCACATTATAAGATAAGTCACACTGCAAAATGTAACTTCTAAGCTATAACCATACAATAGTATAATTTAAGCATTTATGAAAAGAAAATATTGGAAAATAGCTGAATTTTCTCACTTGCGATAAGACAGCATAGAACCCCGGACAGTGAACTGTACACAACCTGCAATGAACAGACACCATTAAGCCTCATTATTCCTGCAGGCAAGACAGTGTTTACCAATTATTAACTATAAAAAGCAAAGAGATTATGAAATTATCCCCTTCACTGATAGCTTTTCATAACATATCCCAAGAAAATGAAAGAAGACGCACACAGACAATAAGTAGACAAAAAGTATATTTATTCTGAGAAAGATAACAATCTACAGGGAGGTCTCTGTTATTGCATGTCGGCTTTGTCTGAACGACCACCAGATCTTGAACAGTTCCGTCTGGTGGGACGCTGCAGCTATGAGCTCACTCACACAGTAAATATACAACACTGCAATGCAACTCGCGTGCAAATCAAAGCAGTGAACAAACACACTGCGTGTCCGAAGTGATAGTTTGGCAACTTGTCAAAAACCTCTCAGTAATTGATCCTGCCCTGTGAAAGCACTACTCTATGCTTTGGTCAGTCTGAACTTAAGGCCTGTTGTTTGAAACACATGCAATTCTAAGATTCACAATATAAGGAATGCCACCAAAATACTTCTTGATATATGATTATGATTACAATATCTTTTAAATATCTCTCGTTTTTTGAGCATGCTTATTAAAGAGATAGTTCATCCAGAAGTGAAGTCTCTCACCATCTCCTCACCCTGATGTCATTCCAAATGTGTATGACTTTCTTTAATCTGTGCAACACAAAAATATATTTTATATAACTGTTTAACTGTTTTTGATCACAGACTGAAAGTCATTAGAGTCTAAAACAACACGGGACCCCATGACTTTCAATGTATGGACAAAAAAAACCCGGAAGAAAATCATGCAGGTTTGAACACAACATGAGGGCGAGTAAATGTAATGATGACAGAACTTTCATTTTTGTGCAATTATCCTTTTAAAATCAATATGATTGTTTGGTTTGGGGTTCATCTCTCACTATGCCACCTTTAACACTTGCGGTTTACAGCACTTTAATCACTTGCTGAGAGCCATTCACTTATTTTTCAACTCCTCGTCACATTCTGGCACAAACTAACAGTGTAAGTGGCAAGCATAAAACTCATCTCAATTTCATTCTTGGTTCATTCTGTGCTCATGAAAGAAAAATGTTTGCCACTAATGACATTAGTGATTCTTCCTCTCCTAACCCAGCTTATGCAGTGAAACATTAACTTTTCCTTACTGTGTCATTCAGCTTAATACTCATTCATGTCGCATAGCAGCAGGCGACTTTTCCAGTTCATTCGACGTGGAGGCCTGATAAAAAGTGCAGTTTGACCTGGAACAACATTCCACCTATTTTATATAGAATTATAAGACTGCAATGCTTATCAAAGCATGACATGGCTGACATCATGGTTTAGGGGCGACAAATACACAACTAGTAGCTTAAACCTTAAAGGCATTGTAAGTTGCTTTGGATAAAAGTGCCTGCCAAATGCATTCATTGTTTTTTAAAGATTTTATGTGAAAATGTTTATGTTAAAGGTGAAGCGTGTCATGTCTGCGCCACTAATGTCCCCAATTTGTGAAATAATTGAATCAAACTGAATTAATAATCATTTTGTTGAAAGAACAGAATTAAAAACATGACACTAAAATCATTCCCAATTGTGCATACAGATAGTCCAGCCCTCAAACTTACACCATTGTTTGTGCCGTTTTGATGTCCAACTTAAACAAAAAGACTGCAAGGGGGGCAGAGATGACACATTTCACCTTTAAAAAGTGCCATAAATTGCAAAGGCATGAAAAACCTAATTAGGAATTTCAGGCATAAATATTTTATTGGCTTAAACGGAAACTTGAAATCAATGTCAACCATTATATCTGGTTAAAAACTTTGGCCCCACTAATGTAAGTTTTTTCTTCATCCAAATGACCATACACCACCATTCAAAAGTTTGGTTAGTAAGACCTTTTTTTAAATTAATACATTTATTCAGCAAAGATGCATACAATTGATCAAAAGTGACAGTAAAGACATTTATAATGTTACAAAGGATTTCTATTTCAAATACATTTTTTTTTTTTTACTTTCTATTCATCAAAGAATACTGGAAAAAAAATATTTTCAGTTTCCATATTAAGCAGCACAACTGTTTTCAATGTTGATAATAAGAAATGTTTCTTGAGCACAAAATTAGCATGTTAAAATGATTTCTGAAGAAGCTTAAAAATTTAGCTTTGCCATCACAAGAATAAATTATGTTTTAAAATATATTAAAATAGAAAACAGAGTATAATATTTCACAATATTATTATTTTTACTGTGTTTTTGATCAAATAATTGCAGCCTCTGTGAGTATAAGAAAATTCCTTCACAAACATAAAAAAATTGTACCGAACCCAAACTTTTGAATGTTAGTGTATATTCTAATAAATACTCAAGAATGTCTGAGCCACTCAAATTCCTCCTGACAGCACTGAAAAGCTTCACTCAAAACACTGTTTTTGATGAAGCTCCAGGTTCAATGACCAGATATATAATCCAACAGGCCAACTAAGTCTACTTACTTACACTCAAAGACCCTGACCTCACAGTGTGTTTGAGTCAGGACTTAACTCCAAATGTAAACAAGACAGCCTGGAGAGATGTGCCAGCGTCCTGCTGTCTCTGAAATGGACAATCATTCACCCTCACTGGACAACAAGGTAAATGTCAGTGATGTCAAGTTGATAGTGTGTCCAAACATCTGCTTGTACTCTACATCACACTCAATGCTTTGACAGGTACACGACGAAGCACTTGAGCATCTCAGATTGAACCCGCTCTGGATCCCGGATAACAAAGGCAAGTAATCCTGTTCATGTAAGTAGAAGAAGTGTTAAAACAACAATAAAATGCTGTGTTTTTGCTGAGACCGACCAATAGGGTGCTTTTCACAGTGCCTGAATGAAAAAGGAAAATCTGGCAGTCTAAACTAGATCTAAATCTGATAGAAAAAAGCCCTTAAGTCCACTTGAATCCTCTTCAAACAAGAGATAAGGTAAAGAAAGACAGATGACTCGTGCCCTGAATCGTTCACATGGACATTTGAGGTTAACCTGGGACTTTCCAAATGGAGAGCAGAACCTAAAATTTAGCTGACAACTACTAGTCTCTCTAGAATCTTTCCATTTTATGATAAAAGCTTGGCGATCTTTTCTAAACTGTCCCATTCATTTCAAGGCCACCAGCGCTCCAGTTAACCCACTAACACAGTCTCATGAAGCAGATGAATCTGTGTCCATTTCATCCATAAAATTCGAACCGAATCAATATCGACAGTACAATCATATTTTCGTGTCTACGCCAAACAGCAGTATTTCTTCCACCATGACTCGGAGAGCATCCTCATTTTATCAGGCGTCCGCTTCTTCAGCCTTTTCTGCTGCTGGCTGTCAGAGTACTGGATGCTGGCCACTATAGCCATGTCAAACACCTCCTTTAGGTTCTTCTGGGTGAGCGCCGAACACTCCATGTACGAGACGGCCTGCACTTCCTCAGCACACACACAGGCCTCCTGGGGGTCGACCGGCTTCTCCTTGTACTGGGCCAGCTGGATGAGCACTTTGACGTCTTGCCGGAGGTCAGCCTGAGTGCCGACCAACAGTATCGGTGCCCTCGGGCAGTGCCGGCGGATCTCAGGCACCCACTTCTCCCTCACATTCTGGAAAGAGGAGGGACTTACCACACTGAAGCAGAGCAGGAAGACGTCAGCATTGGTGTAGCACAGCGGCCGGAGCTTGTCAAACTCATCCTGCCCAGAGCAAAGAAACATTCAGTTGTGATAAACGTCCAGGACAAACTAACACTTGTTATTGTTTTGGATTGTTAAAAGTAGTTAAATGTGAAATGTGACTGGCCCGAAGGTTTTTGTTCTGCTCGCTCTGTTTTACATCATATATTTTCTTACATAAAGGACTTACATTTGTTTTTTTCTGTTAATGAAACAGTTCATGTGCTGGAGTCCTCAAAAATGTACATCTGCATTAAGAACTTCATACTGGTAATTGTTAGATTCCTTTAGTAATGAAGTTATGATTTACTATTAATCATCTTTTCGCACGCACATGCTCTCTGTTTATCCGGCACCGGCTTTGGAATCAACAATGGCCACAGACAAGGTAGAGTATGATGCATGATTTTATGAAAGTGTAGTTGTAGTCTACTGTCGAGTACGCTCCAGCTATCGGCAATTGTAACACTTGCCGTAAAGCAAGTCAAATTTGTAGTTTTCTTATGTCTCATTCGCACTACAGAAATGCGACTCGATCTGGCAATCTTACATAGCGTGGATATATCAGATAAAGGACCGCAAAGCGATGGCATAAGTGCATTTCACCATGTCACGACTTGATAAACCACTGAAACGATTTTGAAAACATTATTTTAAGGTAATAATTCTTACTTAGTGTTGCTTTAACTGAATTTTCAGCATCATTACTCCAGTCTTCAGTGTCATAATCCTTCAGAAATCATTTTAATATGCTGATTTGGTGCTCAAGAAACTTTTCTTATTATCAATGTTGAAATCAGAAATCATTGTTATCAATGTTGAAATCATGCTGCTTAATAATTTTTGGAAACCATGATACTTTTCGCAGAATTCTTAAGTCTTTATCTTATAGTAATGTTACTTTAATCTTTTAAACTGGGAACATCCAGGTCATGCTTATGATTCCATATCTCTGAAATATCAGAACCCGCTGTGAGGTCAGCGGCATGAAAGATATAATCTAGAACACAAATGTGAGATCTGTTGTTTATTACAGCTGCATTCCATCTCTTTTACTCTTCCTTATGAGTCTCCAGCTTGGTTTCTGTTGATACACACCAAGCCAGCTTTTTTTCTTATATTAGTCAACTGGACACATTCTAACATATGAGAAACAATCCTATCCTATTCTATATTTTATCAAATTTATATGCAAATATGTTTGTATCTGGTTAATGAAATTAAAAATTCTGCCTGATAGTTATTTCCATGTTATGACCGATACCAAATAAATGGCTGATATAAAATTTCTATACTATTTTTTATAAATAAAGTAAAAATAAAATAACCAACTATTTTATATATTACAAATTAATTTATCACAACATTATATTATAAAGTATGCAGAACAAATATTCCATTTGAGATTTGCTTAAGATTTAATTTACCATTGTTATTACCAGTGTTTTAGCATGCACTATATATAATATTCTCAAGTCTTTCCGTGTCTCTCTCCTTCTCTTTCTTCCTCCATTTCCACTGGCCTAAACAGGACTGATCCAAATCTCTCTTGGCTTGCCTCCCTTCACTGTCTCCCCTTAGCTTGCTAAACTCATCGAAAACACACACTGATCTCACATTTCCAGTGACTAGCCCCAGCTGTACCCCGGCTGAAAGTAGGTCTCCCTTTCCCTTGGATCAAGCCCAATTCATCACAATTAGACTGCTTCCCATTTGTGATCCTAGAGCTGGTTTCCCCCTCCCACAAAGGGAGAAACACTGACTGACCTATAATAGTGTGTTCCCATAGGATGAAGCATATACTTCCTTATGATGCCTGGACTGCAAACTTCAGCTGAACTTTACCAGAAAATCTTATCATGAATAAGCAAAACAACACTGAATCACTTTCTTTCTTATCTAACAGATAGCCAACCATATGACTAATTAGGACATGACTCACAAGTCTGTTTACAGTTAAGAGAGCAGGGCTTCGACCAGCATGTGTTTGTGCAAACAGTATGTCATCCTTATACAGGGACATGATGAAGTTGCACTGCCTTGAATGTGTTTGTGAGGTGGTTTGTTTGGGTCTGGTGGTGCTGAGTGGGCTCAATGGACTGACCTGACCGGCTGTGTCACAAAGCTGAAGTTTCACAGGCTTGCCGTCCACAGCTACAACCGCTGCAGAAGAGAACAGATTCAATTTGACATTTTATCCCTCTTTAGTCAGAGCACATTAAGACACATGGACTGTGATAAATGAGATTGAAATGGGTTGGTGAACTTGCTGCCCTTACAAAAACTCACCACGCTAATGACAATATGTGTATATATTATATATATATATAGTCATTAGCTAGTTCAAGCTGGTTATTAGATGGTTGACTAGACATCATGTTCCAAAAACCAGTGTGACCTTGTTAAATTGGAATACCAGATGGTAGCTGATGGTCTATCAAGCAAATGACCAGCAGTTTGGACAAGTAATGGCCATCTTAGACCAACTAGAAACCAGCTACCCAAGGCAGCACTAGCTTAAACTGGATTTTCTAGCAGGTGGTTAGAGTAGTTCAAGTTTCTAATTTATTACATTTTATTTAATTTTTACATTTAGTTTTACGGTTTGATTTTAAACGATGGCGCGATATTTACCTGCAAAGTTGTCAAACGCTGTTGGAACATACTCGGTGGGATATCCATTGGTGGTATAGCTCACAATGAGACTAGTTTTACCCACTGCACCATCACCAACCAACACACACTTCACCCTGCGCTCCGCTGCAGCAGACCCGAAGCGGCTCTTCACCGCGGATGACAAATCTTTGCCCCTGAATCTCCTCGGGGGCACCGGCGGCACAACCGTACCTGGGACAGCCTTATACTCTCCACCTCGTTGCGGAGGCATAGCTGAAAACACTGACCGTCCAAGAGTATCAACGCCAGTTTCAGCGATTCATCTCGCTTGTGAATGAGAGACCGGAGAGCCAGTCTCCGATTTCATCGCGGTGTCCATTTATTTTAGAGAGGGAAAAAGTCCGCTAAAAGCTGCATTTCAAATCAAGAAGTGTTTGCTTTATCTGGACGTAAAACAAAGAAACTCCGAAGCAAAAATAAATACAAAGCCCACACATGCACTGACGTTATGCGCTCATGAGGCGAGCCATCCTCCACCCTCTCTAAAACTGATCTGAGCACTTTACTCCTTTACACCCAAATACTGTGGCTGTTGTCTCAATGCCTAGTCAGCCGCCTTACTAGACAGTGTTTTGAGGCGCGCGCAGCATTTTTCAGTCCTACCCAAGGTAGGAAGATGAGTATGATTTGGGACAGAGCCCATGACATCATCCACTGTGAGCTGCATTATCCGTGCGTGAACTGAAGTTCAGCAGACCTGTTGTCATTTCTGATAAACTCAACTGAACAGGCGCGAATTCACGCGTCAGCATTTTTATTTGTCATCAGGGATAATGTCCTTGAAAATGAAAATGGGCGAAGTGCATATAAATTTGTGCTTGACTAATATGAACAACATTTACACATTAGTGTTTATTAGATTTGTTTATTATTATTTTCATGTGCACTATGGATATCGACACCATTATAAATCTTTTAAATTCTTAAAATAGTAATAATTAAAGTAAATTATATTTTGCCACTTTTCGATGCAATCTTTATGTATTTATGTAACATAGCCCAAGAGGGAAATTGTACAGGTACAGACCGTACAGACTCACAAGTTCACAACTTGCTGCATTGAGATCAAATATTTGATGCATTGCCATTGTGTGGATATTCTGAATGTTTATATGGATCAGTTTAAAACTACTCAAAATCGTTTTCGTTCATTTAAATAAAGCTATTTTCTATGGAATATATAATATATATGTATGTATGTATGTATGTATAAATGTGTGTATATATATATATATATATATATATATATATATATATATATATATATATATATATATATATATATATATATATATATATATATATATATATATCATGGCTTTTATATGTGGAATTTGTGTCTCTAATTTTTTTTTTTTAAGTAACGGTGACGCCATCTATTGGACACATTCTAAAACGGTTTAAATTCACCCAAGAACAATAACGACGTTTAACTCTAGTTAATAGAGAATATTAGTTCAGGATATTAATTATTAATAATAACTGATATATAAGTCACATATGATAGGTTCCAACTTCCATCCACATTATGTACGCATTGCTCAGTCAGGCTGCTTATTTGTGTGTGGAACGTTAGTCGCAGATGTTGTTTGACCCGAGCCCCGGTCTCAGATGAACAGACACCCACACATGACTCTGAAACCTTTTGCTTTATATGAGAGTTTGGCAGATGGCTGCAAAAGCAGTAAAAGAGTCTAAAACAATCCGTGAGGTCGTGTTGGGCTTCTTAGAGGAGGCAGAATTATGGCAACTTCTTAGCGACCAGTTTCCAAGTAAAGTCGGAGGGAGACCTGCGTGGTTACGCCAGGTGGATTTGCCAACGGTGTCTGAGTTACAGTGTGAGAAGTGCAAACTCCCAACAGTGTTTCTTCTGCAGGTGTATGCGCCTGTTAAGGAATATGATCGATGCTTTCACAGAACACTATTTGTGTTCTGCTGTAAGACACCAGCCTGCTATACAAGAAATGACAACAAGTGTTTAAAAGGTAATTCATGAGCTGTCGAAATATGTTGAGTAGAACTTTCTGATGTATTACCCTTTGTGTTTGTTATATAATTGAAGAGGTAAATAATTTGGGCATCATCCCTCATATTATCTAAAAGTGGTTTAGTTTAATCGTGCAAGCCTGTGTATAACATTAACATTACAGCATACATAAAGGTACAGTATTCTGCTTTATCCCCATTTCCAGTGTTCAGATGTCAACTGCCAAGAAAAAATGACTTTTACCCTTTTGATCCACCTTCTGATGAGAAGCCAGACCACGCAGTGGATGAACATCAGGTTCTGAAATCTGGGCTCAAATTGTGCAGACTGTGTGGCTGTCTGGGACAGAAAGCCTGCTCTCGATGTCACTCTGTCACATACTGCAGTAAAGAGCATCAGACCATAGATTGGAAACAACGGCACAAGAAAGAATGTTCAAATGAGGGTGAGTGAATAATTTAATTATACATTATTTCTAATGATTGCAGTTAATATATATGTTGTGTTGTCTTCATATTTGGATCTACAGCTTCTCAAACTTCAGAGGAGCTTAATTCATTTCTCTTTCCTGAGTGGGAGCTGGTTACCGAACCGGAAGAGCTTCCAGCAACAGATGAGGAACACCATGAATCCCACAGTTTGGATCAAGAGAACATGGCGTGCTTAAATAACGGTATGCCTTTCAGAACAGATTCAGCAGCTTGATATGTCTGTCTTGTCTAGGATTTGTCATTCAGTTTTTATTTACTCTCTCAGATTTGGAGGACAGTGAGCTAGAGAGTATGGCGTTTCATGAAACACAAGACGCTAAAGTGTTTCAGAAGTTCAAGAAGCGAATTGCTAAAGACCCACAACAGGTCAGTTATAAGAGCAAATGCTACCCATGGCTAATGTCTGTTATATGGTTCAATGGCTATGTGATTGTATATGTTTTTTTTTTTTTAAGGTTTTGCGGTATTGTAAAGAAGGATCTCCTCTGTGGGTGTCAGCTGAACATGTGCCACGTGATGAGGAAGTTCCAGAATGTCCATGTGGTGCTAAACGTCTCTTTGAATTTCAGGTAATGTAAAATACATGTTAAATATACAAAGCACATTGTCATTTATACACTAATATTTGAAAGTTTAGGGTCAGTAAGATTTTATTCAGCCAGGATGCATTAAATTGATCAAAAATGATGGTAAAGTTGTTTATAATGTTACCAAAGATTTACATTTCAAAATTTCTATTCGTCAAAGAATCCTGAAAAATATTAAGCATCAAATTGGTTTTGAACATTGATAATAATAAGAAATATTTCTTAAGCACCATAATCAGCATATTGAAATGATTTCTGAAGGATGTGAAAATGGGAGTAATGGCTGCCGAAAATCTTAAAATAAATGATGAAATAAATCCATCCTTGGTGAGCATAGGAAACTTCTTGAAATCTTACTGAACCCAAACTTTTGTTTTTAATTACACAGCTATGCTTTGGTGTATTTCTTACATGTCATACCATTAGATTAACGCATTTCACGGTTTAAATTGTCACTGTGTTTATTTCAGATCATGCCTCAGTTACTTAATCACCTCAAAGTGGATAGGACAGATGCCAGCATAGACTGGGGGACAGTGGCCATCTACACATGTGCCGACAGCTGCGACCAAGGCACCAAATATTCTGCAGAGTTCATCTGGAAACAAGACTTTTCAGGAGATCAAACAGTGTAGAATTAGTCCATGCATATGAACTATTATTTAGACTTATATAATAAAGAAATGTGAACAATAAAGGATTGGTTCTTTTGAGGCACCCACATACACCATTTCTGACCCTAACTGAAATTAAAAGATGCATCTTCACAAGCATATATATAAATAAATTACTGAAATTAATACTGCTATTCATCAAAGATGCATTAAATTGATTAAAAGTTACAGTAAAGATGTTTACATTGTTAAAAAATATTTCTATTTCAAATAAATGCAGCTCTTTTCAACTTTAATTAATTAAATAATGCCTCACCGTTTCCACAAAAATATTAAGCAGCTCAACTATTTTCAAGATTGATAAGAAATGTTAATAAAATATTGCATAATGCATAAAATCAGCATATTATAATGATTTCTGAAGGATTGTGTGTCACATACTCTTAAAGATTCAGCTTTACAATCACAGGAAGTTACATTTTAAAATATTAATTAGTAATATTTCACAACATTGTTTTTACTGTATTTTTGCTATTCTTGCTTAACTTACATTTTTGACAAGTTCTTGCATTTAAAAAAAAAAAAAAAAACCACAATTTGTAAAGCAACATCATAACACCATTTTCCTGCCTTGTTATTCATAATTCAATTGTGTCATTTATTATTTGGCAAAGGCCAGGAATGAAATCCAAATTAATCTCACTACTTATTTTTCTGATTGTAAAAACTCATAACACGACCAAAATAAGATGTCTTATTGCCATTCTAGAAAAAAAGTGTAGATACTGTAGTGATAAGCTGAAGTTGGCAAACATTTATTTGAATTCAATGTAGCAAAGTTAGTTACATTGACAAACAAATTAAATTAAAATGATGTCAGTGCTTTACATGGGGTTATTGGGAGACCTACAGCACATCATACAATGAAAAAGTGAATTCAGTTGTTAGATTTGCCAACTGTAACATCTTATTTAAAACTGTAACTTAAAAGGTCAAATCCACATGATTTCAACAACTGAAGGAGTCGCAAACTTGTTTGCAAAGCTTTGTTAAAAAAATAACCAAAATGCGCTCCTTAAAAAAAAATATTCTCGTACTGGTCAACATAAGCATAACTTCCCAGACTTATTCCTTTCACTGATGGGTAGTCAACACAGACCATCAGTAATGCAATACACATAAAACCTGCTAATAAAGGGAATGTGTAAAAGTATCTATAAAATGATGGAACATACATCATAAAACCATAAAAGAATTCGTTAAAATGATCAGATATGGATAAAACAGTATTTTGAAAACCGAATGGCAGGTGAAAAACATTTTAAAACAGTAAAATAAAAACATGTTGTCAAATCGGTTCACTTTCTGAGTGAAGAAATAGGTGTCCTTCATATTTACAAGCTTACAAAAGTAAATGAAACGGCGTAGGTCACCCCAGAAATACCGGTGGGCTCAGCCAGTAATTCACCAGCGATAACAGAATGGTGCTCAGCCCAGAGATTATGTAGTCTTCCTGAATCCTTTTAAGATTGGGTATATATTCTCAAACGCTTCATAGATTTCTCCTCTAACCTTTGCACCTGTAAAAAAAAGAGAGGAATATCACTCAGAATCCCATACTAGCATTGAAAGTTACTGTTTGTGCCATTTTAAATACAACAATGACCCCACCTGTGAGTACAACTTTGCCTGAAACGAATATTAAAAGGACAATTCTTGGCTTGATCATTCTGTAGATTAATCCTGGAAATAACTCCGGTTCATAGCTGGGGAAAAGTATCAGCAGGATATTAGGTTTTATATCAAATGGTATTAGTTTTTCCATCTCACAGACAGAATGATTCTGATTTCAAAAGCTCAGTGGATTAAATATTGTATTAGTATAATATTAAAATAAACCCATAAGCATAACTCAAGTGGTACAAATAGTAATAGTGTAGAAAATTCTAATTAATTTAGAAGTTAGTTTGAGATGTACTATAAAAACTATTAATTAACAAATAAATAGACGAACCTGCTAAACTGCTGATGTGTAAGCACCAGGCCCTCTAATCGAATGGGAAACTTGACATCGCAGCTGCCCACCATGTTCTGAATTTTGAAGTCTAAGAATTTGGCAGGAAAACCCAACTTCTGCACCACTCTGGCATATTTTCTGGCTGCCAATCGGGACTGTTCCTCACTGCAGAAGCGATTGCACACAAGAAAGGCAAACACACACACTGCTGTTTGTTCTACACGTGTGTGATAGGAAGAAAACCACAGCAAGATGGGATTCGTACCTTTTGGCTCCTGTGCACACCATCTTCCCTGAGCTGAAGATGAGGGCTGTTGTTCTCGGTTCTCGTATTCTCATGATGACAGCAGCAAAACGCTGAAATAGTTATTAATGAATATATGAGTTCAACTAAAGTGGATGTTTTTGATATTTTGCTTATTGTTTAGAAAATATCATACACTTGCACAAGTAATTTTGATTTTTGCAACAATAGGCAAAGTCCCTTTTAAGGAAAGTCAGTTCACTTTGCGGTCATATTTGCAACAACTCCAGGCAGCTATTTCAGGCATGCAAGGCCAACTCTAATCTACTTGAAACATATTTCAAATCAGAAAAATCCAAATCTGACATAACCAGTCCCATCATTTTTTAATGGTCAAATGGTATTAAAAAGGTTGTATATAAAAAAAAAAAAAGGTAAAAAAAAAATAAAAAAAATAAAAATCTTACCTTTGGATTATATTCAGCATTTCTGGCTCGAAGTGCTATCGTCTTTAAGTCAAGTTTGCACCCCAAGTTTACAGTGGACACAATGTTCCTTAAAAATTAAATTTAATATAACTTTTAACAACATAACATGGAAATTGTAAACAGTTCTAATAAATTCAAAATGACAGTCATGTTAAAGGAGAACTCCGGCGCAAAATGAACCTTTGGTCTAATTACACATTGTTACCTAGTCAACCGTTATCTGAGATTTGTTTTCATGATTATCGAATGTAAATAGTTTTATCTCTAAAAACAGTTTAGCCTATAAAGCTAGTATAACGCTAGTATATTGGGCATAGTGTAATGACAAATAAAAATCGCTTGTTAATACCACTAACAAGGCTGAAAATAGACCCACACTAACACGGTAGCATAATGAGGGTCCCTACCTTCAAACCGAAGCATTGAGAACTTTGTAAGTGTACAGACAGTTTAATAAGAAGATATTTTAAACATAGTCAACTTCGCGTATACAGGCAGAATCCATCTTTGAAATACAGCCTTTACCAGTCGATCTACGAACGCCGATCCAAGTGCGCTGGTGAGATGTGAACGAGCTATAAGTTGTGATAAGGTGAGCGCGAACAGCAGGCTTGGATCGGTGTTCGTAGATCGACTGGTAAAGGCTGTATTTCAAAGATGGCTTCTGCCTGTATACGCGAAGTTGACTGTATGTTTAAAATATCTTCTTATTAAACTGTCTGGACACTGACAAAGTTCTCAATGCTTCGGTTTAAAGGTAGGGACCCTCATTATGCTACCGTGTTAGTGTGGGGCTATTTTGAGCCTTGTTAGTGGTATTAAGAAGCGATTTTTATTTGTCATTACACTATGCCCAATATACTAGCGTTATACTAGCTTTATAGGCTAAACTGTTTGTAGAGATAAAACTATTTACATTCGATAATCATGAAAACAAATCTCAGATAACGGTTGACTAGGTAACAATGTGTAATTAGACCAAAGGTTCATTTTGCGCCGGAGTTCTCCTTTAAGATCTTCTAGATGATCATCATCGCAGATATATTTAATAACTTTTTTTTCTGAAAGGCAATCAACAACGTTTCTAACAGAATTGTGCAGTGATGACAGCTAAAGAACTCACTGTAACTGGGGAACAATGCCAGAGCTCTCCGAAGCCGGTGTGGCAGGAGTGACGGGGGTCATAGGGGTGAGAGGTGTGTTATAAAGTGGCGTGTTGCCTGGCAGTGCCGTGGTCGTGGAGACCTGTGAGTGGTACAGCTGGGGTGTCTGGCCTGAACCTGCCACCATCCCACCCTGCTGTTGCGAGGCAGCCTGTTGCTGTCGCTGCTGCTCCTCCAGGAGGGACAAGCTGTTGGTGTTCTGCACTGGCTGTGGTGTAAGACCCGTGCCATACGGCATCATAGGACTGAAAATGGGCAAGCCAGGCGTCATGGCTCCCTTTGAATAGAGACGAGGTGAATTAACTTCATGCATTGAATAAGTTTTGTTAAAAATACCTGTGTTTTGTAAGGCCTGGAATACACTATATATATGATGCCCAGATTTTTACCCAGATTTACAGTCTGGAGGAGTCAACACTAGTTGCCGAAAGTCAGAGCCAGTCTCCAGATTTGAGTTGACAATCACAACACAAAAATAATAATAACGGTTTATAAAGGGCACAGAATCAGATTTTTTTTTGCCTCACACTATGACTCCATCCAGTCAACAAATATTGAACATGTTCGATTTTTTGGGCCGAGCGATTTTATAACACATTTTCATTTGTCGTGCGTCTGTGAGGTTGTTGTGTTCGGAACGAACAAAGTCTGGTAGTGTGTGATCCTCAGCTGTTTGCCCAGTTTTCCTCTGTAACCATTTACAAAGTTGTAAAGTGTAAGATGTCTATATTTTAAAATCGGTTGAGATTTTTAAAGCTGTGTATTCCAGCCTTAACTATGTTTACTCAACACTACATTACTCACCTGTGGAGAAGCCAGCCCTTGAGGAAAAGGAGGTATACTGTTGTTCTGCTCCATATTGACAGGTTATGAAGCAAAACAACCTAGCAGTGATTTCAAGACTAGCTAAGGTCTTCTAGTCTCAATGCCTTCAGAAGACCTGTGCTGAAATCAAGAACAAACAAAAACACTTAACACACAACAGCACAATACTTCTGAGACACTTGCGTGTATTGTGGACAGATAAATAAATGCAACATCATTGGATGGTTTGGTTGTAGAATAAACACTACGGGGTGTCATTACTCCCAAGTTAAGTAGGAAATTAAATTTAAAAGTAAGCTACAAAACATGTCAACTGCCTAATGTTTTTGTAACAATTCTGTACACAAGTGTAAGGTTCTTGTGTGTGTGTTTGTTTCTTGTAGTGTGGCTCAATGTTATATATCACATTTACAACACCCCTTAACATAACACAATTCACATGCAATGGAAAGCGACAACTGAGTTGACAGTTAACGTTAGTAGTAGTGATCAAAACATTACTAATGTCTACGGAGCAGACTGAAGCCCAACGTGCCTAGCTTGTGGCGCTAATCTGTTCGTTACAAACTCAAACAGTTCATGCTATATAACAGACATCTTTCCCGAAATAGTGTAATAGATTGTGCATTAAAAAGGTCAAAACAAACCGATAATTCGCAGAATCCACCAGGCTGGCTGGGAGTTTGAGTGGAATAGTTCCAGAAACACAGGGAGCGCGCACAAGTTACACGCGCAACAACTTCCGCCGAGTTTTTTTTATTATCTTCCGGTGCATTGTGGGATTTTTAAATATTCACACAATCATATACCAAAATATAATATTTTTAACACGTTATAAAATATAATGGGAAATTATGCAGTTATGCAAAAACAATATAAAAATAGTGCAGTAAAAGGTGTCATCTATGAATACAATGTTTTGGTATTATATTTCTCATATTAATATAAATAATAATACTAGACGTTTTGCTCAAACATTTAATCAAAACAACTTTATTTTTATGTATACTTCCACAGTAATAATGTAGTCCAGTCATTTTATTAAAAAAGGTTGAACAAATTGCAACAGAAGCAAACTCAACTGATTTTGTATCCTAAATATGTCCTGAGTAAGGAAAAAAAAGGGAAAGTTTCGAAAAGACCCAAATATTCATACGCCTTTTCATTCTTTTTCTCACGTGAATAGGGTTGAACCTTTAGATATCATCATGAAAATTGAGTTGATTACTTACATCAAGACAAACACAAAATTTAACAAGTTTTTTTTGTTTGTTAAAATTGGCAAACGGTGCATAATCTAATTACGCAATTTACCACAGTTTTACCCTATTCACGTGAGAAAAAGAATGAGTAGGACATTTGGGTCTTTTTCGAAACTTTCCCCTCATGGGATTCTTCGGGGCTTTTTTCCCCTTACTCGTGACATATTGAGGATACAAAATCAGTTTAGTTTGCTTCTGTTTCAATTTGTTCTAGGTTGACCCCAATTTTGGCTTAAAATGACTGGACTAATGATTCTATAATACGTGTTTATTTTTCTCTCTCCTATGGCCATTAAAAAAACCTGTCACTTTCAATGAACGCCCTGACTTTTATTTTGAAACGGTGTTTTAACAACCCTCGGATTTACATTTTTACTTTCACTAAAGAGGGAAATGAATGTTTCCCGTAGATAAATACATGTATACATATTTTAATGCAAATTTTAAGTCAAATGGCAGCTGTGGGGACATGGTCTTTCTCTCGTCCTGCTGTGGAGAGAATGAGTTGTATGCTGCTAGCTGGACAAAATGCTACTGATGTTGTAGAAACAGTAATGGCAGGTAATAGACAGCTGTTGTACTCTTCATCAATCAAATACTTTAACTTTTATTATTTAAAGGGGATAAATACATACAGGTACTGTTGATAATGAGGGATTTGGTTGGACCTTCAACAATTGTTTTTGTAACTATGTTTACTAGAGATTCAGTAATTATCATTAGAGAATTCATTCCCAGCAGACTTTGTTTATTTAAGGGATGTATTGGAACTGTTTAAGAACAATTTATTTACTAAATATGCCATAAATATGTTTCTATATTATGTAAAATAGTTTTCTATATTATGGCATCTTTCTTTTATAAATAATAACCAGACATAGGCCTATATGCTTTTCTGATAAAGGTTTATTCTCTCAGAGTTTGAAGATGATGCAGACACGGGACGGCACATTGTTGGCAGAGGAGGATATCCAAATTGCAAGGGAGTGGTTGAATGTGATGCTGCAATTATGGAAGGTGTGCCAGGGAGATTTGGGGCAGTGGCTGCACTGCGAGGGTAAAATAAAAGTCTTTTGAGTATTTTCTCCATTATAATCTCTTACATATAACAAAATTGCCCTTTGGAACAATGCTTTCATTTGCAATGCACTGCTTGGAGAGAGAAAACAAACAAACAGGAAATCAGTTTTTTCTATAAAGTCTGGCCCAGAACCATTTTGTATACTTTTGTTTTCATTGCTAGTATTGCACAGCCATGTCGTGTAGCTCGCAAAGTAATGGAGAAGAGTCCTCACAGCTTGCTTGTTGGAGATGGAGCAGAAGCATTTGCTCAGGATCTAGGTTTTACATCTGAGGCCAATGACAATATGCTCTCTCACCATACAGCTACTGCTTACCGGGTATTCACACACATGGTAACTTATTATTTCAATCCCCAGAGAGAATACATATGTTTAATGACATTTTTCTGTTTTCTTTTTATATATGTACTCCAAAAGGAATTCCTTGAAAAAAATCAACCTGTTAGTGGTGGGCATGATACAATAGGTAAGATTAAGATTAATATAACCTGACATCTTTCTCGATGAGTGAATCATATATGGGGCTAACCCATTTTTTAAGTCTAATGACTCAACCAGGTTGTGGTGGGGGTTGGTTAACTCACTTGGTAGGGAAACATCTACTATGACTCTAATTATTTCTGAACTGGGTATGGCCTAATGTAATAAATAAAACTGACATTTATTATATAATCAATATTGTTTCAATTTTATGATTATGAATATACATTTAAAATATATAATCATGCATATTACAGTAAATCTAATTGCAATAGCATAATTGAGAATATTAATCTCACTGGTTGGGTTTATAATGAACTTTTGTGACAGCTTTATGGTAGTCAATCAGTGCATTTCGTGCAGTTTCCAGCTTAAATTGGTTTACTTTCTCATAGGTCTTATTGCTCTCGATCTAAGCGGAAACATAACAGTAGGTAAGGTTGAAAATGTTTACATTTCCTGTTATATTTATTTCTATAAAAATATTGTTTTGATGTAGTAGTTACATTTGGGTTCATATTTCATAATTATGCATGATACAGTATCAATATGAGTCTAATTATACAAATGTGATATTTTGTACAAAATATGTTATTTGACAACTATCATTTGTGTGTTCCTAAATTTACAAATATTGTGCAGGAGTTTCTACATCAGGAGCTCCCTTCAAATCACCAGGGAGGGTGGGAGATTCTCCGCTTCCAGGCTGTGGTCTATATGCTGATCATACAGTAAGCTGTGCAACCTGCAGGGCTTTTTATCATTAATCTCATAGCCTGTTTCTTTACTATCAAATGATATTAATTTTTAAAAGTATGACAAGTTTCAGTGTTATTCTATTTTAGTATGACAGCTATTCTCTGTATTTTCAGGTGGGGGCTGCAGCAGGTAGGGTTTTATGTATTTCTTTTTTTGCAGCTTTTGACTTTTTTAATTGCAGCCCGAGCTTGTTCCTCAAATGTATTGTTTCTTCATTAGACTGGATTAGATTTAACACTTTATTAGATTAAATTAGATTGTACTATTGACCATACAGTATAGATATTTTGGGGACTTTACATCTGAAATACATATGGACAAAAGTATTTGTCTTAATTATTTAATGCAGGTGTTTCAATCAGACCAATTGCCACAGAATCAGATGCATAAAATCAAGCACCTAGTCATGAAGTCTGCATTTACAAACATTTGTGGAAAAAGTGGGTCGTTCTGACAAGCTCAGTGAATTCAAGCGTGTTACTGTGATAGGAGGCCACCTCTGCAATAAGTCAGTATGTGAAATTTCTTCCCTGCTAGATATTCCACGGTCAACTGTAAGTGGTATTAATGGAAAGTAGAAGTGTTTAGGAACAGCAGCAACTCAGCGACAAAGCGGAAGACCATGTAAAGTCACATAGCTCTCTGCTGATTCCATACCTGGCATTAATATCAGCACAAAAACTGCGACGGGAGCTTCATGGAATGGGTTTCCATGCCCGAGCAGCTGCATGCAAGCCTCGCATCACCAAGTACAATGCCAAGTGTCGGATGGAGTGATGTAAAGCACACTGCCACCGGACTCTGAAGCAGTGGAGATGTGTTTTCTGGAGTGACAGATCACGCTTCTCTGTTATGCAGTCTGATGGGCGAGTCTGGGTTTGGTGGATGCCAGAAGAACGTTGCCTGCCTGACTGCATTGTGGCAAGTTTGGTGGAGGATGGATAATGGTATGGGGCTGTTTTTCAGGAGTTGGGCTAGGCTCCTTACTTCCAGTGAAGGGAAATCTTAATGCTTCAGCATTTTGGACAATGCTTTGATTCCAACTTTGTATGAACAGTTTTGGGAAGGCCCTTTTCTATTCCAGCATTAATGTACCCCAGTGCACAAGATCCATAAAGACATAGTTGGATGAGTTGACCTCAACCCCATCGAACACCTTTGGGATCAAATGGAACGGAGATTGTGAGCTAGGCCTTTGCATCTGATATCAGTGCCTGACCTCACATCCTTTCCACAAGAGTGGAAGCTGATAAAGCTTCAATGGGGGGACCAACTCCATATTAATGTCATGTATTTAAGAATGTTATGTCATTACAGTCCCTGTTGGTGTTATAGTCAGGTGTCCCAGTACATTTGTCCTCATAGTGTATGTACTTGAAAATATATATTCTCTATGTCCACAGCTACAGGAGATGGAGACAAAATCATGTGCTACTGTCCAAGCTTTCATGTTGTGCAGCTAATGAAACAAGTATGTAATTCTGTTTTGGTATAAATTAAATTATCACCTTGGATGAACATACAGTCGTGTATTTATTTAGGTAATGATACATAGGATTATGTAAATGTTTCCAAAGGCCGAGGTGTAATTTGTCTTCAGTAGTACATTTCATGTTGAATACTAGGAGCATCTGGGTATCCTGATGGTTGTGTCGTTGACTATAGTGGTGGTGTAAAGTGAAAACTGTCAATGAAAATCTCATTAAACCATTAGCAACCTGTTTGTACTTCAGTAAATTAGATCTGGTTCACATTTCTCTCACCTGTTGTCCAAGGGCTCATCTCCTAGTGAAGCCTGTCATGCTGTACTTGCCGATATACAGAGGAGAATAGGTGACGATAAATGCTTTGAAATTGGGCTTATTTCTTTGAATATGAAGGTAAACACCTTTTATATGGTTCACTGTATTTCCTTTACTCAATATACATATTATTATTAAATATTGTTTGTATGCTGTTTCTATATTTTATCATGCACAAGGTGATTCCTGTACTTATGGTCTTCTCACAGGGAGAGGTCGGAGCTGCATCTTCTGTGGAATTTCCATACACATTCTGGAACCAAGGGCTGGATTCAGTGAAGGAGCTTATTAACCAACCAAAATCCCTAAACGTTTAATTTCTACTCATTAAGCATGTGGGTGCATATAAAACCTCATTACTTTTAACATTTATGTTCAACTTTTATAAGCATTCTATGAAAAAACACTTTGTTCATTCTTCATAATCAATAAAGAGTAAGTGGTTTGGTTCACTGTCTTTTTGACGTGTATTGATCAGTGACTCACACTCACATTAGCCAATGCCACGTTTCACAAATGACATAATTTTCTACCCCTCATGATAGGGGGCAGGATTTCGCCAGTCCTGCATGAACGATTCAAATCTCTATGAACGATGTGTGTCTATGTGTGTGATGGTTTAATAAATAGATGTGGGTATTGTAGTCCTTTATATAGACATCTTCCTTTAGCACGGGCCAGGTGTCATCTAAATTGAACTACAACTTCCGCACAAGTTCTGATGACGACTTAGCCTCTTAGCCTACGCAATCTCTTTAAGGAGTTCCTATTTCCTGGTTGAAGAGTCAGCCATTTTGGGTTTCAACCGACTAGACTTTGCGGCAGCAGCTAGCCAGCTAGTTACTTTTTAATCGGGAGAAAGGTTATTGTTTCTAGTCTCTTCACGCCGCGGAGTTGTTTTGTTAGAAGACAACCGTTTTCACAGTGCCCAGTCCACGATGAATCCTGAATAGTAAGTGAATGAGTTTTTACACGGCTTGTTTGTCGTTACTGTGTTCATAATTTACCTGTAAGTTAGCTACTTTTGACAGGCAGCAGCAATGATGACTGGCTGTGTGATCAATCTTACCAGTAAAGAATATCACGGTATTTGATATACTTCACCGGTTAAAACCGGAAAGCTTCGTGATTTTGAAGACGACCATTTTTAACACATCGCTTTCTCGAAAGCAGTAACTGTTAGTAAAAACTTTTGTAATTAAACGGCTGTTGTATAGCGGAGCCCAGCCAAGTTAAATATCCCTCCGCGTTACATTTAGGACAAGTAGAGCTCATTGGTAAGTCGTACCGCACCTTTACCAATTATTATATTGTGATATTTTAATTTCCACTCGTTAAAGCAGATTTTAGCTGTCAGGTATGAGGCATCAGTAGAAATTAATATGTAGGCTAACTTAGCTGATGTAAGCTAACGTCTCGGGTGGCATTTCATTTACTTTTTAAACATCTTGACGAGCCGGTAAAGTGGATAAATGGTTTAAATATCGTTAACATTTTTAGTAACCTGTTGCTGATCTCCAATTTGATCAGAAAGAGGGTTTTGATTTAAGTAACGTTAGCTATTTTTTGTCAATGTCAGGAAGGTGGACTTGTAAATTACTAATGATGAACTATCAGAGTCTGTCGAGTTTATTAATTTGTTAATACAGCTTTTAAAGTAGTCTGGATGTAATTCATTGTCTTTTTATTCATTCACCTGGAGTTCCTACACAGAAATGCAATCACGTGCCTTATTGCTTAACACATAAACATTTAATTACTGTACACTTTGACACTAAAGTAAGTACATAAAAGTCAGGGTTTCTATATCTGGTTCTTCGAAATTAAAGATTGTTTAGTAAGATTTAATAGACACATTTACACAACACCAGTCTGATTTGTGGTATCTTTATTTCCTTATTGGGACTCGTTTACATACTCTTAAAAGGTGTTTTGTCATTGATTCCATGTTTCCTGTGTTCATTGGCACTGAATTGTGAGGTTTCTATACTCCTGTCCAAATGTCTGAATGTGCAGATGTGAAGTATGTCTCAAGGAACTGAAGTGCCCAGCCCTTCCTTTTGCAAGGTAGTCATGTGTAGGTCACATGCCAAATGACAAGCTACACGGTCTATTACAACTATCACTAGTGTTAGTGTTAAGCAACTCGGTTGCTTAACAGACTTCATATCAGCTGTTGCATCAATTTTACATGGACAGAATAGGGGTGAAATATGTTCTTTCATAGTTAATAGCCTAGCTATTACAATGGTGCTTGTTTAGTGGGTAACACTCATTAGTAGTTTCTCTTTCGGTTCTTCGCGAATCATATCGAAGATTCAATACTAAAGTGCTTACAGACTTTATTGTGGTTCCTAAGATTACATGAATTGTGGTTTAAATAAAGATGGTTAGCAAGTAGGACTTCATGCATATTATCATAATTATTGTCTTTTCTGACACCAGTTTTTAATGTTCAGCTCAATTGTAGGACTTGATGCAGAATTTCAGATCTGCATGATACACTTTTAAAATGTATCTATCCTAATACTCTCTCATTGTTGGTGAAAAAAGTTTATTATAGTCATAATATTTATAATATTTTTAAACTAAATATTTTGAGTCCATAATTAACTAAAGGATCTTTTACCTCACCTACTTATTCTGTTTGACAGAAATCAGAATGTTTGCAAACAGAGGGTTTTTACTTGCAGTTTTTTGTCTAGTGGCTCCCTACACTGGATTGTTTGTTGCAGTAACAAGGAGAGCATGACTTGAATTCAGTGGCAGGATAGAGAGGAAACATCAGACTGTTCTGCTGAGTCGTCGATGAGCTGGTCTTTACCAGGCCGATCCGCTGAATTTCCTTCCTATGGACTTTTCTTAGGCCATGTTGAATAGGGCCAGAGGATTTAGCACAACGGGCAAAAATCCCTCTCTGTGGAATGCTTAATCAGCTTACTCAAGTTTCCCGACCTCAGAGGTCCTCAGCACATTGTCTCTGTTAAACAAACATTTTCTTTTTTGCATGCAAAAGTGGTCCAGTGACTGATTTACTGCATTTTCAGCTGAGTTCCATCAGTTGTAAACTATAATCAAAGGTCTGACCTATTTCACATGTTGCAGGGGGATTTTAATGAGCGCATTGCTTATGTATAGCTAGAAAATAAACAATGTGAAATTGAAATATACAGTGAAAGAAAGCAACAGTTGGTTTCATTTCATGCATGTCTTTTGAGATGTACGCCATACCGTTTGCATCAGTATAATGGTTAACATTACACTACTGTTCAAATGTTTGGGGTCAGTGAGACTTTATTTTTTTATATGAATACTTTTATTCAAGGATATTTGTTGCTCAAAAGTGACCGAAAAGACATTTATAATGTTACAAAAGATTTCTATTTCAAATGAATGCTGTTCTTTTGAACTTTATATTTATCAAAGAATCATGAAAAAGTATCAAGGTTTCCAAAAATATTAAGCAGCACAACTGTTTTCAACACTGATAATAAAATGTTTTTGTTTGTTTTTTAGCAGCAAATCAGCATATTAGAATGATTTCTTAAGGATCATGTGACACGCCTGAAGGAATGATGCTGAAAATTCAGCGTTACCGTCACAAGAATAAATTGTATTTTAAAATATATTATTGACATAGAAAACAGTGTATATTTCGGACAAATGCACTGTCAAAGATTGATGGTCTAAACTCTAAAGTTTTGTTGCTATTTCTCTTGCAGTGACTATTTATTCAAGCTGCTCCTGATTGGTGATTCTGGTGTTGGAAAGTCTTGCCTTCTTCTCCGATTTGCAGTAAGTAGACATTAAGTTTCCCTAGTCTTGTCCTCATGAAGACATTTTTCTAAACATAATTACAATTATTTTGTAATTGCTTGAATCTACATTAGTCAGAAGTGGCAGAGGTTTAATAATACAAATTATTTAATTTATGAAATGATTTTATATAATAGTAATAAGATAATGTTATATCGCATTTATAGTGAATTAAATTGACCCGAATAAAAGAGATTTGACTACTGAAACATCTAATTCACCTGTTATTTGACTTTTTTTCAGGATGACACATACACAGAAAGCTACATTAGCACTATTGGTGTGGACTTTAAAATAAGAACTATAGAATTAGACGGAAAGACTATCAAACTTCAAATCGTGAGTTCCTTTGTTTCCTGTAATGAAATGAATGGTTGTGAATAAGATGATGAGCTAAATATATTTAAGAAAATGATTGAAGAAAAGTGACCACTTGGTGTTTAGATGATATAATTTTAATTTTTAATCAACATCAGAGAGAGAAGGGTTTGGCTATGCCATGTTTAAAGTGGTCAGTCTGGTTACATAATCTTAGAATCTCATTTCCCTTGATCTTGTGATGTAAATTATGCCCGAGAGGGGCTTTTCTCTGCTAACTATGAATAAGGCTGGGTTGACAATATTGATTACTCAATTTTAGCCCATCTTATTTTGATGAACCAATATCAATTCTTAAATCGCAATTATTCTATTCTCTTTTCTGTTAATGCATGAAGAAAAGTTCACTACACAACATATAATAGCAATAACTTTGTGCTTTGTTACTTTTGAAAAGAAACGAAGTCTCAGCTATGAATTTCTGGCAATTTTATCATGAAATTCAAACAATAAATGTAATTTTTACACACTTTACGAACTGTTTTTTGTTCATTTTAACCATTAATATTATAGTAATCCACCAACTGGGTTCTCTATATAGGTCTATATAGTTTACAGCATTAGTTGAGAGAATCAAATCAATTTGTAAAATCTGTCAATGCTACTATAGCTAAAATAATATTTTGAGAGCCTATTTTTATGTTTGATTCTGGTGTCGTCATATTCCTTCTCCCTTACAGTGGGATACAGCAGGACAGGAGAGGTTTCGCACAATCACATCCAGCTACTACAGAGGAGCACATGGCATTATTGTAGTCTATGATGTTACAGATCAGGTGAGCTCGTCCAAACCTTAAGCAGGTGTCCTAATTTTACTTTAAACACCTGTGGAAATGCCTTGAAACAAAACTTGTTTTTACTTCTGCTCCACTGTATTTATGTTTTAATGTTTTTTGTTTTCCATTGCTCTCAGGAGTCCTTCAATAATGTTAAACAGTGGCTACAGGAGATTGACCGCTATGCCAGTGAAAATGTTAACAAGTTATTGGTTGGCAACAAGTGTGACTTAACAACAAAAAAAGTGGTGGACTACACAACGGCAAAGGTAATATTGCTTTTCTCCATATTACTCCATTTATTCCAATATTACGACTCTGTTCCAATCCTAGTGAGCTCATAACTGACTAATTTGGAATGGTATAGACCTTATGCTCCAGAGAAACAAGGGCGCAGCCATCTTTAGAATAT